TTTCTCTTACGGTAATCTGCACGAAAACCATTTTATGAAACAAAATGCTAGTCGCACAACTTACAAACAACATAAATTAAGTTGTTTGTCTGTTATTTTTTTTATAGGATAGAGTGACAAATGAGCACACAGTCCACCTGATCGTAAATAGTTGCTGTGAATATACATTTATCCTCAATAAAGAATCAAAATGCAGATTCCTCGTCACCAGTGAGGACTAAGATGGAATGCCTCTTTTCCAGTAAAAAGAGTCTCCGGTTCTCTACACTCACCATACGCATCACAGCAGTGTTAAGCTGCTATTTTACGCTGGTATTCTGTGAGGGCGTGGTCCTTCCCCGGTCAAGCCGACCCATTCGTGCTACAACTATACTACTAATACAGCTGCAGCATGGCTCTACCACGTATAAAATATATCTATTGCCGCTATGACAACAAATAATAAAAACAAAAATTAATTCGTGTTTTACGATGGTACCTACAGAACCTTTCATGCACATCCGACTCGCACTTGGCCGGCTTTTTTTGAATATAGAAGCCAGGCATGATAGACTCCACCACTAAATTTAATTCCATTGGTGACGTAATAGTCGTATATGGGCTATGGAAAATGCCCGAAAGAACCCATGGGCTAAAATAGATGAAGATAAAACAATTTCTTATGCGCCAGTACTAGATCAGCATCGGGCAACAGCGTCAAGGGTGTGAGTTAGTAATCCGATCACACATTCGTCTGATAAGCCGATAATAGTCCTACAAACCAGTAGGTACCTTTTTCAGCCTAGGAGTTAAGGAGTCCTAGGTGCCTAGGTAAAATACCAACGTGGGTACAACCTTAACAACCTTTTACCTAGTGCTTGCACTGCTCTGTTCCAGTGGGAAGGATATTGAGCCAGGATAATTAAAGGTTGTTTAACAGTGGTAGAGCCACGCGGCAGCTTTTGCTGCCGCACGGATGGGCCGGCTCGAACCGGGGTGGTACCACGACCTCACAGAATACCAGCGTGAAGTAGAGGTTTACCTCTGCATTTCGCTTGGTGAGTGCAGGTGCACTGTGTGCTCGTTTGTCACCCTTATCCTAAAAAAAAAGGTTGTGAAGTTTGCCATCTTAGTTTAATCCACATCCTATTACTCAAAGGTGACGATGTGTGTATGAAGTCGATTGTCCGTGGAATTTTTTGTGAGTAAATCCTAAAGAAACCTTCGAATGCGGTGGCAACAGAAAGTTTATACCTGACTCTTTTTTTTATAGGATTGGAGTGACAAATGAGCACACAGTCCACCTGATAGTAAGTGGTTACTGTGGCCCATAGACATCTACATCTATCCTCCATTACGAATTAAAATGCAGATGCGTTGTCAACCGTGAGTACTAAGATGGAACGCCTCGTTTCCAGTAAAATGGGTCTCCAGTTCTTTACACTCCACCATACGAAACACAGCAGCGTTAAGCTGCTATTTTACACTGGTATTCTATGAGAGCGTGGTCCTTACCCGGTCGAGCCGACCCATTCGTGCTACAACTATACCAGTAATATAGCTGCAGCATGGCTCTACCACGCCTACCGGCTAAGACCCGATGTTGATCACGTTCAGTGTTTTCGATGGGTCCCGGAATCTCCGTTCAGAGCGCAACCGTGTCAGCTCTCTCGCTTTACTTTATTAAATTAAGTACAGGAAGCAGTACTTACTGGCCCCAGCAACCTCGTCCATAGGGTACAGTCGCCACTTCATTCACCACTTCACACAGTTCATTCGTCGTCTCAGTTGTATAAAAAAGCATGTTAATGATGGTAAATCCCTCCTAAAACGAGAGAATTACCATCAGTACACCATTAAAGGGGTCATAAAAAGGAACAAATTCTAATTAGTACCCGTAATTATCGTATTCCTTAAAAATGTTTCAAACAAATTCGAATAAATGCCGCTACATCTGAGCGGAAGCTTATAACACTTATACATACATCCGGCATACTTCACAACTTCCGCTATAGGAATTGAATGTTATGCTATGTGATTTGCTTCTTGACATTTTTTTATTACGTGGCAGAGCCATGCTGCAACTATATTAGTAGTATAGTTGTAGTACGAATGGTTTGACTCGACCGGGGAAGGACCACGCTCTCACAGAATACCAGCGTTCACTGCTGTGTTTCGTATAGCGAGCGCAGAGAACGCATCTGCATTTTGATAATAGGTAGATGTAGATGTTTATGGGTCACAGCAACCACTTACCATCAGGTGGGCCGTGTGCTTGTTTGTCACCCTCATACTCATTTCGCTAGGCTAGCTGATTTTATTACCAATACATTTATAGATATTGGTTTTAGCATTTTCGAACTGAAATTTCTATCAGCTTTATGCGTTGATCACAATTTGCATTACATATGTGTAAAGTTGACATTAGAAGAATATTGGGCATATTTTAGCTTACTTTCGAAATTGACAAACACATACAATGCAAGAATGCACGCAATACAAACCCACACACATACACAAAAAGTAATCTGTACTTTTCAGTTAGAGAATAATTCTTAAGTTATAATAAACTTTCATTTTTTTTAATCTACAAAACTGCTCTTCCAGTCGCGGACTATTTCAAATAAATCTAATTCAATATTTTAAAATTCTGTGATACGTTTAGATTTAATCAGATAAAAACATAAATCCATTTTATAACTGTTCACAATGGTGATTATAGCAGTAAATGTGAGTGAAACCACTGTGCCGCATAGAATGGCCATATAATCTCTATTTGGGCTCACAAAGCGAGCGCAAGCACGATTTTTTTCGACCAATATCAGTAACCATAGTAAGTAACCGTTACGTCATAAACGTGTAGTAATTTAAGTGCTAAAAGCTATGATAATAAAGGCATAGTTACACTAACGCGTTAAATTGAGTGTTTTTATGTTGTCCCTTTTAAGGCTAAGTTAGAATGCTTCGGTACTAGAAAAAAGGGTTTATTTTGTAGAATAACGATGAAAACCGAGCACACATTTTACAAGTGTTAGAGCCACACTGCAACTATATTATAGTTGTAACACGAATGGTTTGGCTTGACCGGGGTAGGACCATGCTCTCACAGAATACCAGCGAAAAATAGTAAGTAATCATGCTACGTTAGGTATGGTGAGTGTAGAGAACTGGAGATCCTTTTTACGGGAAACAAGGCATTCTTAGTTCTCAGAAGTAATAAAGCATCTACATTTTGGTTCTTAATTGAGGAGAGATAGAGTTGTCTATGGGCAACAACATCCACTTATCATTACATGTAGAAAATAAAAAGGGTATTCGATTCTCTACACTCATCATGCGAAATCCGTGAGAGCGTGGTTCTTTTCGGTCTCCGTCCAGGGTCAATAAACATAGAGTTCCACAAGTGAGCGTATTAGGCGCCTTATTATTCTTATTGTACATTAATGACTTACCAGATTCAATAAATTGTCAAAGTGTTCTATTCGCAGACGACATATCTATAATAGTGCCATATAAGGATCAAGATACATCTCACGAAATAAAAATAAGTATAGAGGTACAATCTGTATTAAGATGGCTAAAAGCAAACAAATTAAATGTAAATCTGTCAAAAACAAAATTCATAAAATTTGGTACGAATAAAAGTAAACGCCCTGATAATAACAAATAGAAAATGACAATATAGAAGAAGCTGACTGCATAAAATTCTTGAGTATAACTTTGGACAGATTTTGTAATTGGAAACAACATGTAAATGATGCGTGTCTCAAACTAAGCAGATTTTCCTATGCCCTTAGAAAGCTTCGGACCGTATCAGATGAAAAGACTGCAGGTATAGCGTATAAAGGCTATGTAGAATCAATCTTTAGATATGGGTTAATAATATGGGGGAATTCGACTGATGTTGGTCAAGCATTCATTGCACAAAAGAAATGTTTAAGAGCTATTTGTGGAGCAAGTCCACTTGACTCCTGTGAACCTCTATTTAAAAAACTCAATTTACTGACATTGGCCTGCATGTATGTTCTTGAGGTATCAGTCTTTGTAAGGAAGTATAACGATTTTTTAAATTCAAGGGGGATCATTTTAGTAAATACAGATCAAGAGATTCTACTAAAATAATGATTCCATCTTGTAGAACAGCTTTAAATAAACAGAATGTATATCATATGTGCATATCAGTTTTTAATAAACTGCCTAAGAGCCTATGGGAACTTCCATTAAAATATTTTAAAATTAAGTTAAGAAAATGGCTAGTGGATAAGTGTTTTTATACGATACAAGAGTTCATGCAACATAAAACTAATGTATAATATGATTATTTGTAATATTAAATAAAATGTAATATAATAATAATAATAATAATGATAAATATGATAAATAATAACATAACTTGACATTTTTGTAAGTAACATAATAGTATTTCAATTGTTCTATATCAATATTAAATCTGTTACCACCTGTATTCTGTGCAAATAAATGTTTCTTTCTTTCTTTCTTTCGGGCCTTATCAATTGTGCTGCTGTCAGTGCTACAATAGTAGTTGTATGGCTTTACCACGTAAATCACTAGTTCACAAAGCTTCTTTTATGCCTAGAAATACTTTTACATCTTAGTCATTAGATACATCGTTAGCGTTTTTCGTAGGAATTTAGTTGCGGATGTGTTGTGCCCTCTTTTGTCACTCTAATAATTAAAAAGAGTGACGGAAGGATTATAATAAAAAGATGTATATACACTGTAAAATATTCATTAATAATAGAGCAAATAACGGTGTATGAAATTCGCAAACCTATTACTATGCATGTATTCTTTTTTTTTAAGAATATTAAAATTAAGGAGTTTTAATTTACGCTTATTTTTTGCGTATATAAACACTACTGAGGAAAATTCATTTAATTATACGAGTAGCATTTATTTATATAACTATAAGCTTCATAATACCATATAGTTTAAAGTATTTTTGTGATGCACACTAATTATTAAATTTTCTATTGTTTCAGATGTGACTTAAACCCACAATGGCAGCCACAGACGGCCAAGTCGTGGTCGCAGCGTCGCGCTGGTCTGACGAAGGCCATTACTTAAGAGAGTTCGTTGTAAAGAACCGACTGCCAAATGTAGCCAAAATTATTAAAGGCCAGTATGGTGGACTCGGTGTACCTACTTTACCGAGCCCCGGGTTACAGAGCACAGCTTTATTGGTATCTGCGGGAAAGAGAAAGAAGATCATCGCACAAGCAATAAAATTAAAGGAAGGGAGGCGTATGGTTAGTGTTGGACCAAGACTGGCTATACCAGAAACCTATAAAGGCTATTTCGAATTGTTGAGTGAAGAAGGAAGAGCCGTAAGATGTATAGAATCTGTATCAGAACTAGCGCGAAGAAAACTGGACGACGGCTGCTTAGTAAGAGAGCCAGTAAGAGTGATATGTGCAAAGATTGATCTCGATGGAAATGTAACTGCAGATGGCGCAAGAAACTTACCAGCTGGAGAGGTTATTATACCGAAAGGAGAAACGTTTTTAGGAAAAAATAAATATTTAAAGTGTACCGACACTAAAGGGGACATGATTTTATTGAGTTTGGATCAGAGAGGAAAATTCTCTGCTGTTGCCAAAGAAGAGAATATTAGTGGTGTACATACTGCAAAAACATTGCTAACAAAACGGCTACCAATGACGGTGAGACTTGTACACGGAACACCTCCTAGAGGGTTGAAAAGTGCCAGCCATTTCGTTCCAGAGCTTAGACTTTTATCATTTTTCGAAGAAGATCATGTATTTGCATTGCCCTTGCAAAAGGAAGGAAACGCATTAATTGCTTTGCCTCTAGCGGCACCATTAAAAATGTTGAGATGCAAAAATGAGGAACAAATAAAAAACTTTATGGAATTCTCGAGACTGGTTGAGAAATGCAACCGTCTGCTTGTAGAAGTTGTTGATCGAATACATGTACTTGATGGAAAGTTGGGTGATCCTAAGAGGCTTCTGAATGCTCCACTACATGCACCACCGCTGATTAAAACGGGTTATTTTCTAAGGCGAAGCATGTCATCGGATGCAGCCAACCAACATAAACACATATCACGACATAACCACATATATAGTAGCCACAGAGATGAAAATAGCATTCCCGATGAGTATGACGAAATTGACCAGATTTATGATTATGTTAGAGGTTTCGCCCCTCTACCAAAAAACATCAAAGCATCATATTCCAATGAACCAACTCGTCATGAATCTGCACCAGCATCTCCCGCAGCGACTCCAATTCATATGCCACTAATTACAGAAATCAAACCTGAACCGCCTCCAATTGAAACAATACCGACTAAAAAACCGCTAAATATTCAAAAGGCAGAAAAACGGACTCGCAAAACTGCCATAGCTCCTAAAGAAACACCCATAATAGTTTATAAAGAAAAATGTTCTGTGGCACCAGCTCCAAACAACCTTCCTAAATTATATATTAAGAACAGCGTAAGCAACAACAAAAGTAGAATGGTCTTCAGTCAGAAAAGTCATTCCCCTACCAAGGAGACCCCTAGTCCAGTAACTAGTCCAATAAGACCGTTAACTAAAGGTGATTCCCCTATTTTCAATATACGATATAAAAGTCTCTCAAACATACACCAAGCAATGGAGTTAGATGGTACTTTAGATTCGAGTCACTCAGGTGGCAGGACGTCAGGGGACTCGGGTAATGGACCTAAACTTCCTGAGAAAAGATGTAGAAAACTAAGTAGGCCTAAATCTCTAACTAACCTGGTGTGGGAGCTTAAAGGATGTCCAGTAGAAGCAAACGAGAAACCAAAATGTAGGAATAAAAACGAAAGCTACAAGAAAATTGGAAACAAACTGTCTCTTGGAGCTCAAAAGAGGGTGCCGACGCTGTATCTTTAGTTTTTGGTATGTAACTTATTCTTTCTTAAGTTAACACGACCTTTTAATAATGTCTTTAGGAATTTCCATTCTATTCACATTTCCAATGATTTATATCATTATTAACCTCTGAAAACCCCGAATAAACGTTATATTTCAAATTAATTATTAAGTCAAACATTCATAAACCTAAAACTTTAACCCACAATATTAAAATAACGTTCAGTGTTAGTGTACCGAAACAACTAGATACCTAAAAGTCTTTATTTTTATTTTTATATTTTTTTTTTAATTTAATAAAGACGATAAACGAGCACACAGTCCACTTGATGGTAAATGGTTGCTGTGGCCCATAGATATCTACATTTATCATCGATTAAGAATCAAAATGCAGATGCGTGTCACCCCTGAGAACAAAGATGGAATGTCTCATTTTCAGTAAATAGGTTCTCCGGTTCTCTACACTCACCATACGAAACACAGCAGCATTAAGCTGCTATTTTACGTTAATATTCTGTGAGAGCGTGGTCCTACCTCGGTCGATCCGACTCATTCGTGCCCAAACGAGTATACAGGCCACCTGATGGTAAGTGAATGCTGTGGTTCATAGGCAAATACATCTATGTGAGGACTACGATGGAATGCCTCTTTTCCAGAAAAAAGGGTCTCCGGTTCTCTACACTCACCACACGAAACACAGCAGTGTTAAGCTGCTATTTTTAGTTTACACTGGTATTCTGTGAGAGCCTAGTCCTTCCCCGGTTGAGCCGACTCATTCGTGCTATAACTATACTACTAATATAGCTGCAGCATGGCTCTACCACGTAAGAAACATGTTATCAAAAAATTACTTTGAATAAAAAGTAAAAGCCGACAAGAAACAACGATCTAAAAATAATAAAATAATGTAACATCCTGAAGTAGATGCTAAGACATTATAGAAAAAATAGCGATCTACCCCGACGTCGTCTGGATACGATCTATTAAAATTGAGTTATTTAGATTTTAAAAATTGAGTTAGTTAAAGCCCATTTCATTTATCAATTTATCGTTTTGAATAAAGCTGCTGTTACGGATTCTATCGCGTTTAATTAACTTATTTTTATTAGTTCCCGACGTTTCGGGTGCTTTACAGCATCCATGGTCACGGGGGACTGATATGATTGACGTCCCGATGTCAAAATTAAAACGTCGGGAATTAATAAAAAATAAGTTAATTAAACGCGATAGAACCCGTAAAATTAGTTTTATTCAATGTTCGCGTAAATGTAAGAAATCATAATTTTATCGTTTTTTGCAAAAATAACTTTAAATTCTAGATCCCTTCTGGCGTTGCTCTCTCTCTCTCTCTCTCTCTCTCTCTCTCTCTCTCTCTCTCTCTCTCTCTCTATCTATCTGTTTGTACAGTTTTAGGCCCGCCACATACATACGGAATTCCGTTTCGGGATTCCGTTTCGGAATTCCGTTTCGGGATTCCGTTTCGGAATTCCGAAAGGGTCGGCCACACACATACGGAATCCTGTTTTGCCCGCAAGTTTCGAACGGAAAAATACCGTATGTGTGTGACGGGTCATAGATTTTATATGAACTTGCTACGTTTGGAATCTCGAATCGTAATATCGAAACGGAATCCCGAAACGGAATTCCGTATGTATGTGGCCGGCCTTATGATAATCAGTGCAGCCATTGCGACAGTCAAACAAAAAATAAAATAATGGGTATTATGTCTTAATAGCATGTAACTTAGCCCCTGCCAGTTATTTCAATATTACAGACAGACTTTAAAAACTAAACTATTTATAGGTACATCTATATAAAATTGAACTAATTTTATATAGATGTACCTATAAATAGTTTAGTTTTTAAAGTTGGCTTATTAATTTTTTGTTAAGCGCGTAAGTAAAGTCTAAAACAATGTTCTTTCTATGCGTTTAAAACTTATTAAGCCTCTCTCTTTGTGATTTGATTTCTGTTACAATGTTACAATCTCCTTGTCGTATCTTTAGCTGTGTTCGCTTGAATAGTTGCATCGCTGACATTTAGTTGGGTTCACAGATACAACGTACCATCGTGATATGTCATGTATGAAGCACTTGTTGCTGAGGAAATATTAACATCGATCGCGATATTATTATATATTAATAACATATAGATATCAATTCCGTCCATCCAGTACAGCCTACAAAAGACCACTAGTGGACATAGCCCTCCCTCGTAGATTTCCTCATGGGAGGATTTTGCCATAATAGCCACGCTTGGCAAGTGGGTTGCCAACCACAGGTTTTTATTATTTTGAGTTGTAAATTTTATACGTGGGAGATTCACGCTGCAGATATATAATTAGTATAGTTGTAGCACGACAGGGTCGCTCAATGCTGCTGTGTTTCGTATGATGAGTGTAGAGAACCGGAGAACCTTTTTACTGGAAACGAGGCATTCCATCTTAGTCCTCACGGATGACAACTCATATGCATTTTGATTTATAGTCGAGAATAGATGTAGATGCCTATGGACCACAGTAACCACCTACCATCAGGTGGACTGCGTGCTCGTTTATTACCCTTATCTTATATAAAAAAAATCAGGAAGATGCTGCTGCCCATCTCCTGTTTCATTTTCCCTCTGTCACCTCTTAAGACACCCTGAGAACGATATGGGGTAGTGGATCTTACACCCCCACTACACGGTTAACATATAGATATATGCATCTGTAAACATATAGTTTTACGAATAATGTTTAGTCATTTCTAGTCTAGCTCCTGATTTACAGGATTCCTAGTTCAGGAGCTAGGGGCATAATCGGAAACTGCGTTTTTATTTGTGACTAACAAAGTATTATTATTCGAATATTTTGTAATAAATTCGCCTGGTTGGGACTTTTATAGGATAGGGTGACAAACGAGCACACAGTCCACCTGATGGTAAGTGGTTACTTTGGCCCATAGGCATCTACATCTATCCTCAATAAAGACTCAAGATGCAGATGCGTTGTCACCCATGAGGACTAAGATGGAAAGCCTCTTTGCCAGTAAAAAAGGTCTCCGGTTCTCTACACTCACTATACGAAACACAGCAGTGTTAAGCTGCTATTTTACTCTGGTTTTCTGTGAGAGCGTGGTCCTTCCCCGGTCGAGCCGACCCATTCGTGCTACAACTATACTATTAGCTGCAGCATGACTTACGTATGAAAACGTACTATTCTTATTATGGAGTACACAAGCTAGCACCAAATTTTAACTCAATAATATGCCGCAGTATAATACTATGTCGGCGTCTGTCTTTTCGTCCGATTACAATCTGTGTGTGTTCAAGGTAAAATGTCTAATCTATTTACTATGCTAAGACAGTGAGTTTTACCATCTAGGGCTATCTTAGTTACTTACCACCAGGTGACATTTTAGGTTACCGCGAAAAAATAAACATGAAGTCGTTCTGTTTCCACATGGGCGTAGTTGCAAGGAGATGCTAATCATTATCTCTACCCGCCCCCTCCACTAGGACTTCATTTACGCATCAGTGAACCCCCCACCTCCCAAACTTCATAGCGTTGTAAAATATCTTATGTTGTTCCCCGTGATAAAATATTTTTATGTGCCAAATTTTATGTTTACAATTATAATTGAAATGCCTATGTTCAGCAGTGGACTTTTCTGCAGACTTCCAAAATGGAGACGGTACTCAATTCGACTGTATGTTTTTTTAATGTGTGTTACCTCATAACTTTTTACTGGCTGAACCGATTTCGATGATTCTTTTTTTATTTGAAAGCTGATACTTCTCGTGTGGTGCGGGTGATGATTAGTGTCAGACCAATAGTTTTTGAGTTATTCTTAATAACTTATATTGAAGTCGGCTGTACAAAATTTTTAATTTTAATTTATATAAGCTGTAATGGAATTGAAACTCTTAAGAAAAATTTTCGGACCAATCTGTGAAGACGATGAAACGTTTCATAAAGGATTAATGATGAACTGAAGGTACTGATTCATAAAGAAACGGTCGTTTGATATTTAGAAAGAATGGATAACACTACCAAAAGCTTCTCCAAATTGATGTGGCAACAAAAAAAAGACTCAGGAATCTTGGTAACTATTGTTACTACTTACACGCCACTATTTACAATTAACGAGGAAAATCTAAGGAGTATAGGCAAGAAAATATCTTGGAGAAGGGAGGCCAGAGACAGAGCGAAATGTATGATGATCATTGAGGGGGCCAAAACTCTCAAATTGTAGTAGTGCTTCATTCCTTCAGCCTTTTAAACCTAAATGATACACATCCAAAGAGACAAGACAAACAACTTTTACATTTATAATGTTTTAATATCTAAGACTGTATCAAAATGTTACACTTATTGCGTTTGACGATGTGACAACAAATTATGTAACTAATTACTACGCCCTAAGACGTAAGAGAATCTATCAACCCGTAATGTCTTGTGATTTGAATTGACATAATATGTTTTTCATACGATGGGATGACAAGCGATCAGTGCACGAACAGTGCACCTGATGGTAATTGGTTGCTATATCCCATAGACATCTACATCTACCCTCAATAAAGAATCAAAATGCAGATGCATTGTCACCCGTGAGTACCTAGATGGAATGCCTCTTTTCCAGTAAAAAGGGTCTCCGGTTCTCTACACTCACCCTAAGAAACAGCAGCATTACTGCCATTTTACGCTGGTATTCTGTGAGAGCGTGCTCCTTCCTCGGTCGAGCCGACCCATTCGTACTACAACTATACTACTAATATAGCTGCAGCATGTCTCTACTACGTATACATATGTACTTTGTCTCACGACTTAATCTTAATTAGGATCGCAAGTATAAATTATGTTATTTAAAAAAATCTTCTTGTGTCTGGCAAACGGTTTCAAATTACTTCTGTAGCATGTTGAAGAAAATGTGAATCCTTCTCCTTCCCCTTTTCTCGACGCTAATAAAAATATATAAATAGCGGGAAAAATATCTGCCACAATATCAATCTTTCATAATGACTTAGAAGCCATTTTAAAA